TAATTGCATTGCCACATTTTTTGCAGTATTACTTTAGTGCCTTGTTGCAAACAGGATCCATGTTTTGGAATATTTTTTATTCTGTACAGGCTTCCTTTTAACTCTGTCAATTAGGTTAGTATTGTGGCGTAACTACAATGTTGTTGATCCATCCACAGTTTTCTTCTATCACAGCCATGAAATCACTGAGCGGTTTCCTTCTACTCCGGCAACATAGTTATTTATTTTATTTATTTAACCTTTATTTAACTAGGCAAGTCAGTTAAGAACAAATTCTTATTTACAATGACGGCCTACCAAAAGGCAAAAGGCCTCCTGCGGGGACGGGGGCTGGGATTAAACATACTAATATAGGGCAAAACGCACATCACGACAAGAGAGACACCACAACACTACATAAAGAGAGACTTAAGTCAATAACATAGCATGGCAGCAGCACCACATGACAACAACATGGTAGCAACACAACATGGCAGCAGCACAAAATGGTAGCAGTACAAAACATGGTACAAACATTATTGGGCACAGACAACAGCACAAAGGCAAGAAGTTAGAGTCAACAATACATCACGCGGAGTAGCCACAACTGTCAGTAAGAGTGTCCATGATTTGAGTATTTGAATGAAGAGGTGGTGATGAAACTGTCAAGTTTGAGTGTTTTTTGCAGCTTGTTCTAGTCGCTAGCTGCAGTGAACTGAAAAGAGGAGCAACCCAGGGATGTGTGTGCTTTGGGGACCTTTAATAGAATGTGACTGGCAGAACGGGTGTTGTATGTGGAGGATGAGGGCTGCAGTAGGTAACTCAGATAGGGGGGAGTGAGGCCTAAGAGGTTTTTATAAATTAGCATCAACCAGTGGGTCTTGCGACGGGGTATACAGAGATGACCAGTTTACAGAGGAGTATAGAGTGCAGTGATGTGTCCAATAAGGAGCATTGGTGGCTAATCTGATGGCCGAATGGTAAAGAACATCTAGCCGCTTGAGAGCACCCTTACCTGCCGATCTATAAATTACGTGTCCGTAATCTAGCATGGGTAGGATGGTCAACTGAATCAGGGTTAGGTTGGCAGCTGGGGTGAAAAAGGAGTGATTACGATAGAGGAAACCAAGTCTAGATTGAACCTTAGCCTGCAGCTTTGATATGTGCTGAGAGAAGGACACTGTACCATCTAGCCATACTCCCAAGTACTTGTATGAGGTGACTACCTCACGCTCCAAACCCTCAGAGGTAGTAATCACACCGGTGGGGAGAGGGGCGTTCTTCTTCCCAAACCACATGACCTTTGTTTTGGAGGTGTTCAGAACAAGGTTAAGGCAGAGAAAGCTTATTGGACACTAAGAAAACTTTGCTGTAGAGCGTTTAACACAAAATCCGGGGAGGGGCCAGCTGAGTATAAGACTGTATCATCTGCATATAAATGGATGAGAGAGCTTCCTACTGCCTGAGCTATGTTGTTGATGTATATTGAGAAGAGCGTGGGGCCTAGGATCGAGCCTTGGGGTACTCCCTTTGTGACAGGCAGTGGTAGTTTGCAAACCATGCCAAAGACCCCTCAAAAGACACCAATACTCCTTAGCCGGCCCACAAGAATGGAATGGTCTACCGTATCAAAGGCTTTGGCCAAGTCAATAAAAATAGCAGCACAACATTGCATAGAATCAAGGGCAATGGTGACATCATTTAGGACCTTTAAGGCTGCAGTGACACATCCATAACCTGAGCGGAAACCAGATTGCATACCAGAGAGAATACTATAGACATCAAGAAAGCCAGTCAGTTGATTATTGACAAGTTTTTCCAATACTTTTGATTAACAGGGCAAAATAGAAATTGGCCTATAACAGTTAGGATCAGCTTGATCTCCCCCTTTAAATAAAGGATGCACCGTGGCTGCTTTCCAAGCAATGGGAACCTCCCCAGAGAGGAGAGACAGGTTAAAAAGGTCAGAGATAGGCTTGGCGATGATAGGGGCTGCAACCTTAAAGAAGAGAGGATCTAAACCATCTGACCCAGATGGTTTTTGGGGTCAAGTTTAAGGAGCTCCTTCAGCACCTCAGACTCAGTGACCGCCTGCAGGGAGAAACTTTGTAGCGGGGCAGGGGGAAAAGAGGGAGGGGCATCGGGGCTAGTCGCATTAGAAGGGGTGGGAGATAAGGAAATGTTGGACGGGCAATGAAGCATGGCTGAGTCCAATAGGAATCCTGACTTAATGAAGTGGTGATTTAAAGAGCTCAGTCATGTGCTCCTTATCAGTAACAACCACATCATCAACATTAAGGGACATGGGAATGGGAGAAGGGTTTATTCTCCAGGTCTTTAACCGTTTTCCAGAGTTAGGAAGGACACCTGTATCTTTGTTGTGACTGGGTGTATTGATACACCATCCAAAGTGTAATTAATAACTTCACCATGTTCAAAGGGATATTCAATGTCTGCTTTTTTATGTTTTACCCATCTACCAATCGGTGACCTTCTTTGCGAGGCATTGGAAAACCTCCCTGGTCTTTGTGGTTGAATCTGTGTTTGAAATTCACTGCTCGACTGAGGGACCTTACAGATAATTGTATGTGTGGGGTACAGAGATGAGGTAGTCATTCAAAAATCATGTTAAACACTATTATTGCACACGAAGTTCATGCTACTTATTGTGACTTGTTAAGCAAAAGTTTACTCCTGAACTTATTTAAGCTTGCCATGACAAAGGGGTTGAATACTTATTTACTCAAGATATTTCAGCTTTTCATTTTTAATTAATTTGTAAAAATGTCTCTAAACATAATTCCACTTTGACATTATGGGGTATTGTCTGTAGGCCAGTGAAAAAAAATCAAAATGTAATCAACTTAAAATTCAGGCTGTAACACAACAAAATGTGGGAAAAGTCAAGGGGTGTGAATACTTTCTGTTGCCCTAAGTTGGTAGAATATTATTCAAATTATTCACAGCTGTAATGGCTGCCAAAAGTGCCTCCACCAAGTATTAACTCTGGGTTGTGAAAACATATGCAATCAAAACGTTTTAATTTTTTAGGTTCTATAACTTTTCTTTAACTTTGAAAATGAGTAGATTGTGTAGATTGTTAAGGGAAAAAAGCTAATGAAATCCCTTTTTAGATTACATTTTAAGACAGCAGAATGTGAAGACTGTGCAAAGGAAGTAGACTTTCACTAGCGACTGTAACTGCATATTACAGTCATTGATCTACAAGTCATTGCATGCCGAGCAACCTCAATACCTATCAGTAGCCCTATAACAACTTTGCGCAGAGTGCACACTGTCCAACGAAAGGTAGGCCTATCTCTGCTACCTGCTGATTGGGGTTTTGATTTGATTTCGATTGCTCAGGTTCACCATCAGAAATAGCTTTTTGTAGTTTTGCCTTAAATGGGGCAATCTGCAGTTGCTTCATCCATTTTTGGACTTCTGAATTAATGAAATGTACCCATTGATTCTTGAAGAATATAACTTATGAATGGCTCATGAGCTAAGTTCAACTGTTGTACCCCATCAGAACCCAAAATATAAGCTTGAAAACAAAGTAAGCGTAAACAAACACTATATAGCCTCAAAGCAAGATTAAAACTATAGGTTCGATATCATGGATGGTCAGTCCTTGCATCCAATGCTCTGTCCATGAATTTGAGTAGTTACATTTCTCCAGCTCTATCACTCATCTTTTTACTGAAACGGGTGGGGAAAACGCTTTATTGTTTCAACTGCTGATTACCACTTGAAACAGTCCGTGTATACGGTCATCTTTACATGAATAGGCAAAGTTGGTAGCTAATTTCATAAAAAGGACAGCAATCATTTTTGCAAGCCCAACTGCATTGTTGGAGCAGGAGGAAAAGAGAACCTCACTCCGTAAAACATTTACTTGAAATGTTCAACTTCAAGAACATATTTCAGCTTTTTGGTATAAGAACCGTGTTGGTTTCACCTTAAGGTTATGGTTAGACGTACCTCTGTCCTCACTACTACCTGTTACATTCTAAGACTGGGTCTTCTCTCTGAGTCAGGGAACATACCATTCTGTATGCAGCCACAGCCATGCTGCATTCTCATACAGGCTTCCACAGATAACCCATAACACACCCACGCACACACCTAAGTTCTCATCAACTGTGAAATCAAGTCTCCATTGTATGGGTAGAATGGGTTAATTTAGTAAAATTGCTACAATTTAGTTGATAAAAGGGGATTTCAACAGTATCCCCTTTTAACCTTGTCAATGTTCTTTGTGGCTTCAGAATGTAGGTGATTGACTGAGAATTATACCTGCAGTGATATTATGCTTAAAAGAACATTAGATTGATACATTATAATATATTTGAAGTGGCAGAGGATATTTATTTTGTTGCTATGGATGAATAGAATCAGCAACCAATGAAACAACTTGGGTTGTATTCATTAGTCGCTCACCGTAGCAAAAGGTTTTGCACCGGGAACCATTTACTCTAAACTGAAAATTTTCTCATCTCCCCACTGCCCAGTAAGCTCTATTTGCTCATACTAGAAAGCACAACTTTGGCTATATCGTTAAGCTTATAGGGCAACGGACACGTTCAGGACTAATTCACATAAATTCAACAGTCAAGTCTCCATTGTATGGATGGAATGGTTTAAATTAGTAAAATTGCTACACTTTAGACGATAAAAGGGAATTTTATCGCCTGACTTTTACCTGCTGTGATCTTTGTGGCATAAGAATGCAGGTGATTGACTGCAAAGTATACTAACCTGCAGTGCCATTATGCTGGAAAGAACATTACATTGATTCATGACGATATTTGCCCACCATTTAGTGGCGGAGGGAAAGAATTGACATGAATGTCTTCATGTAATAAATGTTAGTGCATCGAATCCAATCGTATCGCATCAATTTCCTCCTCTAATCAAACCGAATCACACCGAATTGTTTCAAACTAAAACGTATATTTTCTGTATCGTATTGCAGCTCATGTATCTAGATGTGTATCGAATCATCTTTGAAAGGGAAGATGCACACCCCTAGTAAGCATACATTGACTGCAGTGTACTAAGTACTCATTTTCTTTCATTCAGACCAGGACCTGGAGATAGAGCTGGTGGAGGATGAGCCTCCGTTCCTGAGAGGACACACTAAACAGAGTATGGACATGAGCCCTGTCAAGATTGTTAAGGTATGTTTTATTTTCCTCTGCACCACCCTACTTTCACCCTACCTTTTAGACCTAACTGTTTTATCCTGTCCCATGTAGTGTGAACAAATGCCTTTCTCTCGGTTTCCCTCTGTCAGAATCCAGATGGCTCGCTGTCCCAGGCAGCCATGATGCAGAGTGCTTTGGCTAAGGAGAGGAGGGAGGTGAAGCAGGCTCAGCGAATGGCTGAGATGGACTGCATACCTATCGGTCTCAACAAGCACTGGGTAGACCCCCTGCCTGACTGTAAGGGCCTTGACCACACACAAACATTGCATTAGGGATGCAGACATACAGTATGCTTTCCAACAATGCGATTTACCTCTGGACTTCCACCTCATGCTTTCATTTCTGCCCTCCATATGGTGACTACCACATATTAAAACACAGTCCTGTCTGAGCCACTACATCAGACATCTTCCAGTGTAGCAGCAGCAGCCCTCGGGGTTAGCAGGGCTGGAGATCTCTGGTATTTGGTATTTTGTTAGGATCTCCATTAGCTGTTGCAAAAGCAGCGGCTACTCTTCATGGGGTTCACACAAAACATGAAACATGATATAATACTGAACATTAATAGACAAGAACAGCTCAAGGACAGAACTACATAAATAGTTATCTGGTTTCCTTTAGCATCCTAACAGGCCGGATAGAGTGGCCTGCTGTAGTGTGCTGTGTCCTCCATGGGTGTAAAGGTTCCTGCCAGGGCCCTAGACTCGGGCTGGCTCACCAGTCATCTGAAGGGGTGGAGGTTAAATATCATGCCAGTTCATCTCAATTAAAGACACTTCCCTCTTACACAGTTGATGGAAGGCAGATTGCAGCCAACATGAGAGGAATCGGCATGATGCCAGACGGCGTCCCGGAGTGGAAGAAACATGCCTTTGGGGGCAACCAGGCCTCTTATGGCAAGAAGACAGCGATGTCCATCCTGGAGCAGAGAGAGAGCCTGCCCATCTACAAGCTCAAAGAGCAGCTCATACAGGTTAGTAATTGTAATTGCCCTATAGGGAGAAATAAAGTTGTTGTCAACATTGCTTTATTTCTAATGTTACCCTACTTCAATATTACTTCAACCGTTTCAATTATACATTTTATCTGACTTTGGTCACCTCTCTTTTGCATTATTACAGGCTGTCCACGATAATCAGATCCTGATTGTGGTTGGAGAGACTGGCTCTGGGAAAACTACCCAGATCACCCAGTACCTGGCCGAGGCGGGCTACACCGCTCGGGGGAAGATCGGCTGCACTCAGCCCCGTCGTGTGGCAGCCATGTCTGTGGCCAAGAGAGTCTCTGAAGAGTACGGTTGCTGTCTGGGCCAGGAGGTGCGTGAGCAGTTTTACCTTGGTATTCCTTTTGATTTGCTTGTAGACAATGACATCCTTTTTTGAGGGACCTCTCACCTCTCAATTCTTTTCCACACCAGGTGGGCTACACCATCCGTTTTGAGGACTGCACCAGCCCTGAGACGGTGATCAAGTACATGACACATGGTATGCTGCAGAGGGAATGTCTGATAGATCCAGACATGGGTCAGTACACCCTCATCATGCTTGACGAGGCCCACGAGAGGACTATCCATACTGACGTGCTCTTTGGTCTACTCAAGAAGGTATACTGGGTCTTGTTCATAACAGAACAGTGTGAATATTTCCTTGACTGTGTGTTAATTCCTTTGAATTCTCTGTCAATTTCAGACAGTGAAGAAACGTCCAGACATGAAGCTGATTGTGTCCTCAGCAACACTAGATGCTGTTAAGTTCTCCCAGTACTTCTTCGAGGCGCCCATCTTTACCATCCCAGGACGTACCTATCCAGTGGAGGTGCTCTACTGCAAAGAGCCTGAGACAGACTACCTGGACGCTAGTCTCATCACCGTCATGCAGATCCACCTGACCGAGCCCCCAGGTACGTTTCAAACACGGTTACAATGCATACGTCCGCAATGTCTAAACTCCTTCACCTGCGTTAGACGCAAATCCTTGATTGACATCCATAGTAAAGGATTCGGCCATTAGTGACTCATTGTCCTCTCTCGCTCCTTCTTTGCAGGTGATGTCCTGGTGTTTCTGACGGGTCAGGAGGAGATTGACACAGCATGTGAAATCTTGTATGAACGGATGAAGTCTCTGGGACCTGAAGTGCCTGAACTCATCATTCTACCTGTCTACTCTGCACTGCCAAGCGAGATGCAGACCCGTATCTTTGACCCTGCTCCCGCCGGCAGCAGAAAGGTATCAGAAGTGCCCACCCTAACACAAACCAGAACGGTCCCAAAAACACATACACACTCTTCTACTGCCACACATGCCCGATATCAGAGGTAGGACTAAGCCTAATCATTTTGTGTTATTTGATTCTGCAGGTAATAATTGCCACTAACATTGCTGAGACATCTCTGACCATTGATGGGATCTACTATGTGGTGGACCCAGGCTTTGTGAAGCAGAATGTCTACAATTCCAAGACTGGCGTCGACCAATTAGTGGTGACCCCCATATCACAGGTAGGTTGAATAAGACATATGCAGATATCATTAATCGTACATGGAGAAGGAACACTGAAAACATTAAAAACACCTGCTCTTTCCATGACATAGACTGACCAGGTGAATCCAGGTGAAAGCTATGATCCTTATTGATGTCTCTTGTAAAATCCACTTCAATCAGTGTAGATAAAGGGGAGGAGACAGGTTGAAGAAGGATTTTTAAGCCTTGGGACAATTGAGACATGGATTGTGTGTGTTTCATTCAGAGGGTGAATGGGTAAGACAAAATATTTAAGTGCCTTTGAACGGGGTATGGTAGTAGGTGCCAGGCGCAACAGTTTCCCATGTGTATCAAGAATGGTCCACCACCCAAAGGACATCCAGCCAACTTAACACAACTGTGGGAAGCATTGGAGTCAACATGGGCCAGCATCCCTGTGGAATGCTTTCGAGTCCATGCCCTGATGAATTGAGGCTGTTCTGGGTGCGAAGGTGCAACTCAATATTAGGACGGTGTCCTTAATGTTTTGTACACTCCGTGTACTTTGTGTTGTCCAGAGCATTGAAATCCAATCTAAATGAATTGCTTTCTCTATCTTTCTCAGGCCCAAGCCAAGCAACGTTCTGGAAGAGCTGGAAGAACTGGCCCTGGGAAATGCTACCGGCTATTTACAGAGAGAGCCTACAGAGATGAGATGCTCACCAGCAATGTGCCTGAGATCCAGAGAACTAACCTGGCCAGTACCATGCTGTCTCTCAAGGTCCTAAGAAGTTACTGTAACCATGGGCCCTCATTAACACTGCAACACCTTTTTCTAAATATATTATATATACAGTGGGGGAAAAAAGTATTTAGTCAGCCACCAATTGTGCAAGTTCTCCCACTTAAAAAGATGAGAGGCCTGTAATTTTCATTATAGGTACACGTCAACTATGACAGACAAATTGAGAAAACAAATTCCAGAAAATCACATTGTATGATTTTTAATGAATTTATTTGCAAATTATGGTGGAAAATAAGTATTTGGTCACCTACAAACAAACAAGATTTCTGGCTCTCACAGACCTGTAACTTCTTCTTTAAGAGGCTCCTCTGTCCTCCACTCGTTACCTGTATTAATGGCACCTGTTTGAACTTGTTATCAGTATAAAAGACACCTGTCCACAACCTCAAACAGTCACACTCCAAACTCCACTATGGCCAAGACCAAAGAGCTGTCAAAGGACACCAGAAACAAAATTGTAGACCTCCACCAGGCTGGGAAGACTGAATCTGCAATAGGTAAGCAGCTTGGTTTGAAGAAATCAACTGTGGGAGCAATTATTAGGAAATGGAAGACATACAAGACCACTGATAATCTCCCTCGATCTGGGACTCCACGCGCAAGATCTCACCCCGTGGGGTCAAAATGATCACAAGAACGGTGAGCAAAAATCCCAGAACCACACGGGGGGACCTAGTGAATGACCTGCAGAGAGCTGGGACCAAAGTAACAAAGCCTACCATCAGTAACACACTACGCCGCCAGGGACTCAAATCCTGCAGTGCCAGACGTGTCCCCCTGCTTAAGCCAGTACATGTCCAGGCCCGTCTGAAGTTTGCTAGAGTGCATTTGGATGATCCAGAAGAGGATTGGGAGAATGTCATATGGTCAGATGAAACCAAAATAGAACTTTTTGGTAAAAACTCAACTTGTCGTGTTTGGAGGACAAAGAATGCTGAGTTGCATCCAAAGAACACCATACCTACTGTGAAGCATGGGGGTGGAAACATCATGCTTTGGGGCTGTTTTTCTGCAAAGGGACCAGGACAACTGATCCGTGTAAAGGAAAGAATGAATGGGGCCATGTATCGTGAGATTTTGAGTGAAAACCTCCTTCCATCAGCAAGGGCATTGAAGATGAAACGTGGCTGGGTCTTTCAGCATGACAATGATCCCAAACACACCGCCCGGGCAACGAAGGAGTGGCTTCGTAAGAAGCATTTCAAGGTCCTGGAGTGGCCTAGCCAGTCTCCAGATCTCAACCCCATAGAAAATCTTTGGAGGGAGTTGAAAGTCCGTGTTGCCCAGCGACAGCCCCAAAACATCACTGCTCTAGAGGAGATCTGCATGGAGGAATGGGCCAAAATACCAGCAAGAGTGTGTGAAAACCTTGTGAAGACTTACAGAAAACGTTTGACCTGTGTCATTGCCAAAAAAGGGTATATAACAAAGTATTGAGAAACTTTTGTTATTGACCAAATACTTATTTTCCACCATAATTTGCAAATAAATTCATAAAAAATCCTACAATGTGATTTTCTGGAGAAAGAAAATCTCATTTTGTCTGTCATAGTTGACGTGTACCTATGATTTAAATTACAGGCCTCTCTCATCTTTTTAAGTGGGAGAACTTGCACAATTGGTGGCTGACTAAATACTTTTTTCCCCCACTGTATATATCTTCTTGTATTATGCCCCTAGCCCCCTCTCCCCTGGTTGGAGGACTTGGTGGAAAACATTAACATTCAGTGAATATATATATATATACTGTGATTTCAGAAAGTATTCAGACCCCTTCCCTTTTTCTACATTTTGTTACGTTACAGCCTTATTCTAAAATGGATTAAATAACTAAAAAATCATAATCAATCTACACACAATACCCCATAATGACAAACCGAAAACAGGTTTTTAGACATTTTTGCAAATGTATTATAGATAAAAAACAGAAATACCTTATTTATTCAGATCCTTTGCTATGAGACTCAAAATTGAGCTCAGGTGCATCCTGTTTCCATTGATCATCCTTGAGATGTTTCTACAACCTGATTGGAGTCCACCTGTGGTAAATTCAATTGATTTGAAATTATTTGGAAAGGAACACACCTGTCTATACAAGGTCCCACAGTTGACAGTGTTTGTCAGAGCAAAAACCAAGCCATGAGGTCCAAGGAATTGTCCGTAGAGCTCCAAGACAGGATTGTGTCGAGGCACAGATCTGGGGAAGGGTACCAAAATCTTTCTGCAGCATTGAAGGTCCCAAATAAAACAGTGGCCTCCATCATTCTTAAATGGAAGAAGTTTGGAACCACCAAGACTCTTCCTAGAGCTGGCCACCCGGCCAAGCTGAGCAATCGGGGGAGAAGGGCCTTGGTCAGGGAGGTGACCAAGAACCCGATGGTCACTCTGACAGAGCTCCAGTAGTCCTCTGTGGAGATGGGTGAACCTTCAAAAGGACAGCCATCTCTGCAGCAGTCTACCAATCAGGCCTTTATGGTAAAGTGGCCAGACGGAAGCCACTCCTCAGTAAAAGGCACATAACAGCCCGCTTGTAGTTTGCCAAAAGGCACCTAAAGACTCTCAGACCATGACAAAAAAGATTCTCTGGTCGGATGAAACCAAGATTGAACTCTTTGACCTGAATGCCAAGCGTCACGTCTGGAGGAAACCTGGCACCATCACTATGGTGAAGCATGGTGGTGGCAGCATCATGCTGTGGGGATGTTTTTCAGCCGCAGGGAACGAGGGAAAGATAAACGGAGCAAAGTACAGAGAGATCCTTGATCCAGAGCGCTCAGGTCCTCAGACTGGGGCGACGGTTCACTTTCCAACAGGACAACGACCCTAAGCACACAGCCAAGACAACGCAGGAGTGGCTTAAGGGCAAGTCTCTCTGGAGAGACCTGAAAATAACTGTGCAGCGACGCTCCCCATCCAACCTGACAGAGCTTGAGAGGAACTGCAGAGAAGAATGGGAGAAACTCCCCAAATACAAGTGTGCCAAGCTTGTAGCGTCATACCCAACAAGACTCGAGGCTGTAGTCGCTGCCAAAGGTGCTTCAACAAAGTACTGAGTAAAGGCTCTGAATACTTATGTAAATGTGATATTTACGTTTTTTTAAATGATAAATTAGCGAACATTTCTAAAAACCAGTTTTTGCTTTGTCATTATGGGGTATTGTGTGTAGATTGATTTGGAGAAAAAACTATTAAATCAATTTTAGAATAAGGCTGTAACGTAACAAAATGTGGAAAAAGTCAAGGCCTCTGAACACTTTCCGAAGGCACTGTATATACACACACACATATATACAGTGGGGAGAACAAGTATTTGATACACTGCCAATTTTGCAGGTTTTACTACTTACAAAGCATGTAGAGGTCTGTAATTTGTATCATAGGTACACTTCAACGGTGAGAGACGGAATCTAAAACAAAAATCCAGAAAATCACATTGTATGATTTTTAAGTAATTAATTTGCATTTTATTGCATGACATAAGTATTTGATCACCTACCAACCAGTAAGAATTCCGGCTCTCACAGACCTGTTAGTTTTTCTTTAAGAAGCCCTCCTGTTCTCCACTCATTACCTGTATTAACTGCACCTGTTTGAACTCGTTACCTGTATAAAAGACACCTGTCCACACACTCAATCAAACAGACTCCAACCTCTCCACAATGGCCAAGACCAGAGAGCTGTGTAAGGACATCAGGGATACAATTGTAGACCTGCACAAGGCTGGGATGGGCTACAGGACAATAGGCAAGCAGCTTGGTGAGAAGGCAACAACTGTTGGCGCAATTATTAGAAAATGGAAGAAGTTCAAGATGACGGTCAATCACCCTCGGTCTGGGGCTCCATGCAAGATCTCACCTCGTGGGTCATCAATGATCATGAGGAAGGTGAGGGATCAGCCCAGAACTACACGGCAGGACCTGGTCAATGACCTGAAGAGAGCTGGGACCACAGTCTCAAAGAAAACCATTAGTAACACACTACGCCGTCATGGATTAAAATCCTGCGACGCACGCAAGGTCCCCCTGCTCAAGCCAGCGCATATCCAGGCCCGTCTGAAGTTTGCCAGTGACCATCTGGATGATCCAGAGGAGGAATGGGAGAAGGTCATGTGGTCTGATGAGACAAAAATTGAGCTTTTTGGTCTAAACTCCACTCGCCGTGTTTGGAGGAAGAAGAAGGATGAGTACAACCCCAAGAACACCATCCCAACCGTGAAGCATGGAGGTGGAAACATAATTCTTTGGGGATGCTTTTCTGCAAAGGGGACAGGACGACTGCACTGTATTGAGGGGAGGATGGATGGGGCCATGTATCGTGAGATCTTGGCCAACAACCTCCTTCCCTCAGTAAGAGCATTGAAGATGGGTCGTGGCTGGGTCTTCCAGCATGACAACGACCCGAAACACACAGCCAGGGCAACTAAGGAGTGGCTCCGTAAGAAGAATCTCAAGGTCCTGGAGTGACCTAGCCAGTCTCCAGACCTGAACCCAATAGAAAATCTTTGGAGGGAGCTGAAAGTCCGTATTGCCCAGCGACAGCCCCGAAACCTGAAGGATCTGGAGAAGGTCTCTATGGAGGAGTGGGCCAAAATCCCTGCTGCAGTGTGTGCAAACCTGGTCAAGACCTACAGGAAACGTATGATCTCTGTAATTGCAAACAAAGGTTTCTGTACCAAATATTAAGTTCTGCTTTTCTGATGTATCAAATACTTATGTCATGCAATAAAATGCAAATTAATTACTTAAAAATCATACAATGTGATTTTCTGGATTTTTGTTTTAGATTCCGTCTCTCACAGTTGAAGTGTACCTATGATAAAAAATTACAGACCTCTACATGCTTTGTAAGTAGGAAAACCTGCAAAATCGGCAGTGTATCAAATACTTGTTCTCCCCACTGTATACACTACCGTTCAAAAGTTTGGGGTCACTTAGAAATTTCATTTTTTTCCATGAAAACATACATGAAATGAGTTTGAATAGGAAATATAGCAAAATTAATAGGAAATGTAGTCATTGAGGTTAGAAATAATGATTTTTAATTAAAATAATTGTGTCCTTCAAACTTTGCTTTCGTCAAAGAATCCTCAATTTGCAGCAATTACAGCCTTGCAGACCTTTGGCATCCTAGTTGTCAATTTGATGAGGTAATCTGAAAAGATTTCACCCCATGCTTCCTGAAGCACCTCCCACAAGTTTGATTGGCTTTATGGGCACTTCTTACGTACCATACGGTCAAGCTGCTCCCACAACAGCTCAATAGGGTTGAGATCCGGTGACTGTGCTGGCCACTCCGTTATAGACAGAATACCAGCTGACTGCTTCTTCCGTAAATAGTTATTGCATAGTTTGGAGCTGTGCATTGTCCTGTTGTAGGAGGAAATTGGCTCCAATCAAGCGCTTTCCACAGGGTATGGCATGGCGTTGCTAAATGGAGTGATAGCCTTCTTTCTTCAAGATCCCCTTTACCCTGTACAAATCTCCCACTTTACGACCACCAAAGCACCCCCAGACCATCACATTGCCTCCACCATGCTTGACAGATGGCATCAAGCACTCCTCCAGCATCTTTAAATTTGGTCTGCGTCTCACAAATGTTCTTCTTTGTGATCCGAACACCTCAAACTTTGATTCGTCTGTCCATAACACTTTTTTCCAATCTTCCTCTGTCCAGTGTCTGTGTTCTTTTGCCCATCTTAATCTTTTCTTTTTATTGGCCAGTTTGAGATGTGGCTTTTTCTTTGCAACTCTGCCTAGAAGGTCAGCATCCCTGAGTCGCCTCTTCACTGTTGACGTTGAGACTGGTGTTTTGCGGGTACTATTTAATGAAGCCAGTTGAGGACCTGTGAGGCGTCTGTTTCTCAAACTAGACACTAATGTATTTGTCCTCTTGCTCAGTTGTGCACCGGGGCCTCCCACTCCTCTTTCTATTCTGATTAGAGCCAGTTTGCGCTGTTCTGTGAAGGTAGTACACAGCGTTGTACGAGATCTTCAGTTTCTTGGCAATTTCTCGCATGGAATAGCCTTCATTTCTCAGAACAAGAATAGACAGACGAGTTCAGAAGAAAGTTCTTTGTTTCTGGCCATTTTGAGCCTGTAATCCAGGGTTCTTCAATTCCGGTCCTGGAGGGCCGAAACACCTCTGTTTTTCATCCTCTCCTTCTAATCAGGGGTTAATTCAGACCTGGGACACCAGGTGAGTGCAATTAACTACCAGGTAGAAATAAAAAACAGAAGTGTTTCGGCCCTCCAGGACCGGAATTGAAGAACCCTGCTGTAATCGAACCCACAATTGCTGATGCTACAGATACTCAAGAAGGCCAGTTGTATTGCTTCTTTAATCAGCACAACAGTTTTCAGCTGTGCTAACATAATTGCGAAAGGGTTTTCTAATGATCATTTAGCCTTTTAAAATGCTCAACTTGGATTAGCAAACACAACGTGCCATTGGAACACAGGACTGATGGTTGCTGATAATGGGCCTCTGTACGCCTATGTAGATATTCCATTAAAAATCAGCCGTTTCCAGCTACAATAGCCATTTACAGCATTAACAATGTCTACACTGTATTTCTGATCAATTTGATGTTATTTTAATCGACAAAAAAATTGCTTTTCTTTTGAAAACAAGGACATTTCTAAGTGACCCCAAACTTTTGAACGGTAGTGTGTGTGTATGTATGTATATATATATATATATATATATATATATATATATATATATATATATATATATATATATATTATAATATATACATATATATATATATATATTATAATATATACACTCTGTTCTTCCAATGTCATCCCTTCATTTCCCTCTCTCCATACTTCCTTCAGGCCATGGGCATCAATGACCTGCTATCGTTTGATTTCATGGACGCGCCACCCATGGAGACAATGATCACAGCTATGGAGATGCTCTACACTTTAGGGGCTCTGGATGACGAGGGGTTACTCACTCGCCTTGGACGCAGGGTAAGATGGAGTATGGAACAACAAGCTATCTATTCGAGAGACTGAAGATGTAAATCAGGCAAGCAATTCTATTTGAATTGTTGCAGTAGTTAATATTCGAAATTGAAAAACATGCATTACAATTGGGCAGTTTATGGTCAGTGAATTGTCGGAGTTAAAATTGACTTGACCCCAACCACAATATTGTTGTAATGAGTGTGGTTAAATGCATGCTATACACTCTTCCCCATTCCTCTCCCTCTGTCTCTATGTTTGTAACAGATGGCTGAGTTCCCTCTGGAGCCCATGTTGTGTAAGATGCTGATCATGTCCGTCCACCTGGGCTGCAGTGAGGAGATGCTCACCATCGTCTCCATGCTGTCTGTGCAGAACGTCTTCTACAGGCCCAAGGTACAGCAAATCACAGGTCCATAAATACTGTGTAACCATGGCTATTAGTGATGTCCAGGCCAGTGTGTTAACTGAAATATCACATAAAAAGCATGGACGGATAACATACATAACCTTCTGCAGCTCGACAATGGTAGTAGCTATTCAAATTGGAATACATTTCTCTACTGTGTCTGCAAATACTGTTTTGTAATAAAACATTGACGCCAATATCATTTTCAATGTTGTTAGCTTTCAAACTAGCTAGCTAACCAATTACCTGTAAGTCAGCCTCACATTCTGGTAATTTTGACTGCAAATATTGAATGTTACATTACTTAATAAGATACATCTCTCTCAGATTGGTTTCAAATGGGCACATATCAACTTCATTATACAGCACACGTATTAGCTAATAGCTACCGATGCTAGTACGCTAGCTAGCAGAAGCCAAGCTAGCATCAAAGTAAAATGTTACTCAAATCAATCAAATAAATGTGTATTTGTCACATGCTTCGTAAACAACAGGTGTAGACTAACAGTGAAACGCTTACGGGTCCTTTTCCAACAATGCAGAGATAAAGATACAATATATATATATATATATATATATATATATATATATATATATATATATATATATATATATATATATATTCATTCCAGGGTTTTTCTTTATTTTTACTATTTTCTACATTGTAAAATAATAGTGAAGACATCAAAACTATGAAATAACACATATGGAATCATGTAGTAACCAAAAAAGTGTTAAACAAATCAAAATATATTTTATATTTGAGATTCTTCAAAGTAGCCACCCTTTGCCTTGATGACAGCTTTGCACACTCTTGGCATTCTCTCAACCAGCTTCATGAGGAATGCTTTTCCAACAGTCTTGAAGGAGTTCCCACATATGCTGAGCGCTTGTTGGCTGCTTTTCCTTCACTCTGCGGTCCAACTCATCTCAAACCATCTCAATTGAGTTGAGGTCGGGTGATTGTGGAGGCCAGGTCATCTGATGCAGCACTCCATCACTCGCCTTGGTCAAATAGCCCTTACACAGCCTGGAGGTGTGTTTTGGGTCATTGTCCTGTTGAAAAACAAATGATAGTCCCACTAAGCACAAACCAGATGGGATGGTGTATTGCTGCAGAATGCTGTGGTAGTCATGCTGGTTAAGTGTGCCTTGAATTCTAAATAAATCACAGATAGTATCACCAGCAAAGCACCATCACACCTCCTCCTCCATACTTCACGGTGGGAACCACACATGCGGAGATCATCCGTTCACCTACTCTGCGTCTCACAAAGACGCGGCGGTTGGAACCAAAGGACAGATTTCCACCGGTCTAATGTCCATTGCTTGTGTTTCTTGGCCCAAGCAAGTCTCTTCTTCTTATTGGTGTCCTTTAGGAGTTGTTTCTTTGCAGCAATTCGACCATAAAGGCCTGATTACGCAGTCGCCTCTGAACAGTTGATGTTGAGATGTGTCTCTTACTTGAGGTGCAGTTAACTCTAATGAACTTATCCTCTGCAGCAGAGGTAACTCTGGCTGTTCCTTTCCTGTGGCGGTCCTCATGAGAGCCAGTTTCATTATAGCTCTTGATGGTTTTTGCGACTGCACTTGAAGAAACTTTCAAAGTTCTTGACATTTACCAGATTGTCTGACCTTCATGTCTTAAAGTAATGATGGACTGTCGTTTCTCTTTGCTTATTTGAGCTGTTCTTGCCATAATATGGACTTGGTCTTTTACCAAATAGGACTATCTTTTGTATACAAGCCCTACCTTGTCACAACACAGCTGACTGGCTCAAACGCATTAAGAAGGAAAGAAATTCCACAAATTAACTTTTTAGAAGGCACACCTGTTAATTGAAATGCATTCCAGGTGACTACCTCATGAAGCTGGTTGAGAGAATGCCAAGAGTGGTCAAAGCTGTCATCAAGGCAAATAATCTAAAATCTGGCCTCCACAATCACCCGACCTCAACCCAATTGAGATGGTCCTTCAAGACTGTTGGAAAAGCATTCCAGGTGAAGCTGGTTGAGAGAATGCCAAGAGTGTGGAAAGCTGTCATCAAGGCAAAGGGTGGCTACTTTGAAGAATTTGTTTAACACTTTTTTTGGTTACTACATGATTCCATATGTGTTATTTCATAGTTTTGATGTCTTCACTATTATTCTAAAATGTAGAAAATAGTAAAAATAAAGAAAAACCCTGGAATGGGTAGGTGTGTCCAAACTTTTGACTGGTACTGTATATATTAAATAAATAAACAAACAGTGACACATGAAATAAATACACAAAAAATACAGAAATATGTCTGACAAAACTGTTCTTGGTTGTCTCGTTGGCTAACAAAATATATTATGACAACTTGGAGATATAGGTATTGGGTTTAGTTAGCTTACTAAAATTGTAATGGCTTTCACTCTACTGTAAACCTTTGCCGCGCAAATGTGAAAGCTCGAGCCATTGTGTGCGTGCACCCTCTGTAGGATTTAAATACCCTTGGGCAGGGTGGTTCATGGGTTTACAACTAGAATCAACTGCTATCACAGCTATCACATTTGTTGATTGTGGTGAATTATGGTTGACTGACTTCCCTAACTTGTCATATGTTGAAACCTCAGACCATAATGAGACAGTTGTAGCCTAATGTGATTTCATGTTGATCAGTTGGTGGCCAGTCCTTATAGTCATTTTATTCTCTGTCTCTCAGGACAAGCAGCAGATGGCTGACCAGAAGAAGGCCAAGTTCCACCAGGCCGAAGGAGACCACCTTACTCTGCTGGCTGTCTATAACTCCTGGAAGAACAACAAGTTCTCCAACCCCTGGTGCTTCGAGAACTTCATCCAGGCCCGTTCCTTGCGCAGAGCCATGGATATCCGCAAACAGATGCTGGGTATCATGGACAGGTAGGACACTCATCATAAGCATATGTAATTAATTCTATATCCGGCAGTTCTCAAATGGTAGCTTTACTTGTAAGTCATATTAATCCTGTGACTCAAAGACGCAATCTCTAGGGCACAACATTTTAGAGAAATAAGCTTTTTGTGCGTATGGAACATTTCTGGGATCTTTTATTTCAGCTCATGAGACATTAGACCAACACTTGTTGCATTTATAGTTTTGTTCAGTATACTTAATAGAACATCTATAGTCCTTACTGTATCAATATGTCAGACATAGGGTGAATTATTGGAGTCTTACTTTGACCTGTTCTTTCAGGCATAAACTGGACATGGTGTCTTGTGGAAAGGCCACAGTGCGCATACAGAAGGCCATCTGCAGTGGTTTCTTCCGGAACGCAGCCAAAAAGGATCCCCAGGAGGGCTACCGTACCCTCATTGACCAGCAGGTGGTGTACATCCACCCCTCCAGTTCCCTGTTCAACCGCCAGCCTGAGTGGTGAGTCTATAACCGTGGGGGGCTATAGACATAGTCACAAGTTTACGTTGACTATCATCAATTGTTACTTGTAAAAGTTTTTGACATCCTTGCCTGTATGTAGTAGAGTCATTGTATAGACCATACATTTTTGGAAAGTAAAGAGTACTGTATGAGTATATAGACCATGATACTTTTTAAATATATATGATCAGGCAATAGAGCTACAGAAAGATTAAAAACGTGCTCTTCTGTACACTAATTTCCCCCACTCCTTTCATCCCCATATCGCCAGGTTGGTGTACCATGAGTTGGTGCTGACTACTAAGGAGTACATGCGGGAGGTGACCACCATTGACCCACGCTGGCTGGTAGAGTTCTCGCCGGCCTTCTTTAAAGTAGCCGATCCCACGCGTCTCAGCAAACAGAAAAAGATGCAGCGCCTCGAGCCCCTCTACAACCGTTACGAAGAGCCCAACGCTTGGCGAATCTCCCGCGCCTTCCGCAGGAAGTAGAGGTGTATCCCTTTGCCCTTACACACAGGCTCACACCACAGCAAGAGAGAGAGGGAGACTGTCATTGACAACTGGTTGAGAAATACCAGGCCATTGTTCCTTTCTGTGTTCCTACAGAGTCATTTGGCTTCATTGTTCAATGTCAGTTAACTTACCTCCCTCAGACTTTTGGCCCGTATATGACCCAAAAGTTCGTTTTTGCCCAGTGTATAAATTACCTCAAAACCGAACATCACGGAGTCCCTCAAAGAAAATGACTATTAAGTGAATAGGAAGGAGACTGGGCACTGTAAGTGGGCAGTAATCTAATCAGTCAGTGGAAGTCTGTCTGTTTTTGAGGACACGATGCTCAGAGTCCGTTTAGTCTAGAGATCTCATGTAATATAGTTTATATCTAGGGAAATGGATCAGACTTTGATTGTAGTCAGCAATTACCAGATCTGTGGTTTCATTAAGATGGCGGAAATGTAAGCGAACTGAAATGAGTGATTTCTAAATTACCATATTCTTCCATATTAAATATTGGATGGTCTCATGTCTGCTGTTTTTGTCTTGTTGCTGTTATGTTATAATTAAACTGTCATGGTCTGCCAATGATAGGAATGGAAAGTATAGTACAGACAAGTTACAGAATTGGCCCTTGCAGAACTACCATCAAAAGTCAACTGATCATTCCATTTATGAATGTTCAGGTGTCCCATTGCAGCTGTGTGTGCAGATACAGTGCCTTCGGAAAGTATTCAGACCCCTTGACTTTTTCCACATTTCGTTACGTTACAGCCTTATTCTAAAATGGATTTAAATAGTTTTCCCCCCTCATCAATCTACACAATACCCCATAATGACAAAGCAAAAACAGATGTTTAGAAATATTTTTAAAAAATATATATATATCACATTTACATAAGACCCTTTACTCAGCACTTTGTTGAAGCACCTTTAGCAGAGATTACAACCTCGAGTCTTCTTGGGTATGACACTACAAGCTTGGCACACCTGTATTTGGGGAGTTTTCCCATTCTTCTCTGCAGATCCTCTCAAGCTCTGTCAGGTTGGATGGTGAGCATCGCTGCACAGCTGTTTTCAGGTCTCTCCAGAGATGTTCGATCGGGTTCAAGTCCGGGCTGGGCCACTTAAGACATTCAGAAACTTGTCCCGAAGCCACTCCTGCGTTGTCTTGGCTGTGTGCTTAGGGCCGTTGTCCTGTCTTCGTCCCAGTCTGAGGTCCTGAGCGCTCTGGAGCAGATTTTCATCAAGGATCTCTCTGTACTTTGCTCCGTTCATCTTTCCCTCAATCCTGACTAGTCTCACAGACCCTGCCGCTGAAAAACAACCCCACAGCATGATGCTGCCACCACCATGCTTCACCGTAGGGATGGTGCCAGGTTTCCTCCAGATGTGACGCTTGGCATTCACGCCAAAGAGTTCAATCTTGGTTTCATCAGACCAGAGAATCTTGTTTCTCATGGTCTGGGAGTCCTTTAGGTGCCTTTTGGCAAACTCCAACGTGCTGTCATGTGCCTTTTACTGAGGAGTGGCTTCCGTCTGGCCAATCTACCATAAAGGCCTGATTGGTGGAGTGCTGCAGAGATGGTTGTCCTTCTGGAAGGTTCTCCCATCTCCACAGAGGAACTCTGGAACTCTGTCAGAGTGACCATCGGGTTCTTGGTCACCTCCCTGACCAAGGCCCTTCTCCCCCGATTGCTCAGTTTGGCCGGGCGGCCAGCTCTAGGAAGAGTCTTGGTGGTTCTAAACTTCTTCCATTTTAAGAATGATGGAGGCCACTGTGTTCTTGGGGACCGTCAATGCTGCAGAAATCTTTGGGTACCTTTCCCCAGATCTGTGCCGCGACACAATCCTGTCTCAGCGCTCTACGGACAATTCCTTGATCCTCATGGCTTGGTTTTTGCTCTGACATGCACTGTCAACCGTGGGACTTTATATAGACAGGTGTGTGCCTTTACTCATTTTACATTTACATCATTTAGCAGACGCTCTCATCCAGAGCGACTTACAAATTGGTGCATTCAACTTATGAAAGCCAGTGGGACAACCACCTTTTTTTTTTTTTTATGGGGGGTGGGGGAAGAAGGATTACTTTATACTATTCCTGGTATTCCTTAAAGAGGTAGGGTTTCAAGTGTCTCCGGAAGGTGGTCAGTGACTCCGCTGTCGTGGGGGAGCTTGTTCCACCATTGGGGTGCCAGAGCAGCGAATAGCAATGACTGGGCTGAGCGGGAACTGTGCTTCCGCAGAAGTAGGGGAGCTAGCAGGCCAGAGGTGGATGAACGTAGTGCCCTCGTTTGGGTGTAGGGTCTGATCAGAGCCTGAAGGTAAGGAGGTGCCGTTCCCCTCACAGCTCCGTAGGCAAGCACCATGGTCTTGTAGTAGATGCGAGCCTCAACTGGAAGCCAGTGGAGTGTGCAGAGGAGCGGGGTGACATGAGAGAACTTGGGAAGGTTGAACACCAGACGGGCTGCAGCGTTCTGGATAAGTTGTAGGGGTTTAATGGCACAGGCAGGGAGCCCAGCCAACAGCGAGTTGCAGTAATCCAGACGGGAGATGACAAGTGCCTGGATTAGGACCTGTGCAGCTTTCTGTGTAAGGTAGGTTTGTACTCTGCGAATGTTGTAGAGCATGTCCAATCAATTGAATTGACCACAGGTGGACTCCAATCAGGTTGTAGAAACATCTCAAGGATGATCAATGGAAACAGGATGCACCTGAGCTTAATTTCGAGTCTCATAGCAAAGGGTCTGAATACTTATGTAAATAAGGTATGTCTGTTTTCTATTTTTCATTCACACAAAAAAAAAATATATATTTTCGCTTGTATTGTGTATAGATTAATGAGGATTTTTATTTATTTAATTCATTTTAGAATAATGCTATAACGTAACAAAATGTGGAAAATGGGAAGGGGTCTGAATACTTTCCGAATGCACTGTATTTGGAGTGGAACACTCTGACCTATGAGAACCTTCGTAGTAATCATGTTTCCTAGTTGACATAAGGTGTGACCACTGATAATGGCAGCATGTGAGGTAGGAAATGCATGTGCTCTTTTGTCAATGACTTTGGGAGAATCTCAATTGCATACTCCTCGCGTCCTCTCTCCTTGCCTCCTGAAAACCCATTGGATGAGAAAGCCAGAGGCGAGAGGACGTGAGTAGCATGCAATTGAGATTCTCCCATAGACTGAAGTTTGATTAACTGATTTTCATGTTCATTTATGCTGTTAATTACTTCATACCTTGAAATAACACCCATTCCCCCTCTGTGTAGCCATTCCCAATCTGTCACAATGTTATCAGAGAAAGAATACAAGGTCTTGGCACATAGAATAGTAGTAATAGCGTATCTTTATTAAGCAATCTCTTTAACCACAGTCATGTGTATGGATTAAATAGGCCTCAGAAGTGAGGAATGCAGCTTTTAAAAACTCAAAAATCCCTAATGAGATTAATTTAAACAAAAACAAAGAAACACCATAGCCTTTGTATATACAAGTGGATGGGGTGGTCATGTGCAATAGGTGCAGGGGCCGGGGTAGGCAACTAGATTTGGCCGCGGGCCGATTTTTGTCGGAGCAGATGGTCGGGGGGGGCAGGAAAATAATAATTTGTACACTGCAAATTGACCACAACTAAGCCCAAAAAGAGATTGTATTTGAAAAAAACAATCATTTCATACCTTGATTACATTGAGACATTATCACCTCTTTTTTTTATTTGTAGGAATACTTGGGAACAGATTTCCTTTTTTTAAAAAAAGTTGGTGGCTGAATTCCTGGTGATTTTGGTATTTTTTGACCAAAAACGAAAACCCTAAAAACTTTGGGGGGCCCAAAAAAAATCACTTGCCAGCCGGTTTTGGCCCACGTGCCGCCTGTTGCCAACCCCTGACAGAGAGGATCTGGAGGATGGGGGGTGGGGTGGTGGCATTAGTACATGTAGCCTTTGGAGTAGGGCTGGGCGCCCATGTTTGGTGGGGCTTGTTCAGGGGGGTAGGAGGCCCCCTCATCCATGTGGGACAGGGGCACAGTGTCCTCCTCGTTGACGTAGCGCTCAAATTCGGCCTTCAGGCTGGGCCGCTGGTTGTCGGGGAAGGCCAAGGAGATGAGAGCCTCGGGCTCGCACACAAACTTGTAAACGTAGCGCTCCCCTGCCACCTGCAAACACGGAGGAAAGGGATTTCTCTGTAAGATATGTTAGTTAGTCGGTGTCGTTAAACTAATGCAAGTGTGGAACAAATCTAATCAAATAAATCAGATATATACATCAGTCATTTAATATAAAACATTGCTTCTAAAGGAAATGGATGATAGAGCCAACCAAATGATAGGCAGTCCCACCACTCTGAGACACATTTGAACTGCTGAATAAAGCAAATTGTAGAGCTAGGTTTATTAACCTTCTGCATAATTCCCTTCTCGTAGTAATAGCGCAGAGAGCGACTGAGCTTGTCGTAGTTCATGGCTGGACGGTTCTTCTGCATGCCCCAGAGCCTGGCCACCTGAGGAGAGATGGAACGAGAGGAGAGAGAGAGAGAAGGAAGGGAAAAGAGGGAGAAGAGCAAGAGGTGGTTACGCATCTGGGACTGTTCAGCTCCAGTGGATAGTCCCTCTGCTCTTCACGGGTGAATGAACACACATTAAAAGGAGACAAAGTTTTTAGCATCTGCCAAAGGACACTCCTATTATATTATTTTATAGATTGAGGTTAGATGGAGTGAGGGCTTTCTCTCTGGAGCAGTGTTTCCCCTATATTCATTTAGAAGGGGTGGCCCACCGCTGCTTAATTGTTGCCCCCTCTGCAAAAAAAATATTTTTTGTATATATATGTATTTTTGCAGAGACGCGCTTTTAAATGGATAGTCGTTGGCTCAATGACTGGAGGTCTATGGGAACAGCTAGCATGTCATTGCGCAATGGAACAGCTGGCATGTAATTGCGCTAATGCTAGTAGTAATGTTAGCCTCCCCCGGCCGCTACCCTTGCCACCACTGCAGAAACAAATCCTAGGGGAAAAACTGCTGGAGCCAATATGAATGAATTCCAAATAATTTGCCCTGGAGGGAACCACAACTTTTCTTCCTTCTGCCTGCAACTCTCCAATGCCACCGCTAGGGAGTCCTCAGTGACCAGTTTTAAGGCTCTGTCTCGCTGACCTAACTGGCTCATCATGTCAAAAGCAGGCTGAGTCCCCACATGTGGATTCATTTACATTTTCACATTTTTAGTCATTTAGCAGACGCTCTTATCCAGAGCGACTTACAGTAGTGAGTGCATACATTTTCATACTAGTCCTCCGTGGGAATTGAACCCACAACCCTGGCATTGCAACCGCCATGCTCTACCAACTGAGCTACATGGTGATGGGTTCCTTTTTATATAACCCATCACCACTTTAATGCAACCAGAGTCCCACAATGTGCGCAGTGAAATAACAATCTGGTGCCTGGTTGTCATAGGGGCAGCATCGTGAAATAGTGTCTCAACCTCAACTCCCCACTGACAGCCTGCTAATTCCAATACCTACGAAATGTCTCACATCTCCAAACGAGAACAGAATGGAACCGTGCCATCTGAGATGTGTGTTGTTGACAAACAGCCTGGTCACTATAGGAAGACTTGAGTGTAGAGGACACATAGAGAAGGTGTAGTAGACTCCTGCCTTGGGGGTTTAGGGAATGCTGATGTCCCAGAGCAGACTACTCTCTTTGATCCTGAGTGCACACTCAACCTTAGCTGCTCTTGTAAAACTCTTGCAGTATTAATTATTTATGTACAGTAGCCAGATAATGGCAGTATCATTGTATCTGAATGTCTTTTAAATGTCTTGTAAATTCAGTTACCTGTTTGAATAAACTTCTAAGTCAACAGCCCTCAACTTCAAAATAATCTCTCAACCAGTCCATTGACTTATAGGAGACGTGGAGTGAATATTAGGTGATGGAGCTCATCCTCCATTTTGTGTGTGTATCTACTGTTATTACGTGTGGTAAATAATGCATGGAGGTTAATGGGCGACTGGCAGTTTAGATCAGTGCATGGCCCCAGAGGGATGGTTTAGAAGGGTGGAGGGGGGAGCAATCTCAAACATTGAAACCTTATTCTAGAGAAAGCACAATCAGCATTAAAGGGGCAATCAGCAGTTGAAACAATAACAAAGTTCTTCCTCGCCTCTGTTTCGGTAAAAAGCTGAGGGATGGGGATGGAGAAATCCAACCACTCTCAAATTCATACACAGCGCTATGGACTTACCATCCATGATATCAAAATGATAGTGTTAACCATGTTTTGAGGCTATAGACCTACATGGAAAAATCCTACAGTTTACTATAGAATAATACAGTACTTACTATAAAATTATGTAGTAAACTGTAATATACTATACTAAACACTAGCATACCTATATTATGTGTAGTACTTACTAGATAATGTTGTAATATACTGTAGAATACTATAGTAAATACTTCAAAAACACTACAGTATTTCATTTGCATATACCCTGCCCATTCCCCTTCCCCATATCCCAATTTGTGCCACCCATAAGTGAGAAACCTACATGCCAATTATAGACCATATACTGTGTTCCCTACAGGTTATAAAAAGCTCTGAACTGTCCATTTAGACCTCAGTCCTACCCAGACAAAAGTATTTTGTCCAGTAGGTTTTTGCTATGTCAAAGATAATAAAACAAAAACACTATAGTAAATACTACAGTAATGTCAGCAAAAACACTACAGTAAATACTACAGTATACTACAGTCCATACTACAGTATACTATAATACACTATAGTATATACAGTGCCTTCAGAAAGTATTCATACCCCTTGACTTATTCCACATTTTGAGGTGTTACAGTCTGAATTCCCCAAACAATGTGTCACCCGTCTACAAACATTACCCCATAATGACAGCGAAAACATGTTTTTAGACATTTTTGCTAATTTATTGAAATACAGAAATATCAATTTACATAAATATTCACACCCATTTGCTATGACACTCCGAATTCCTTTGATCATCCTTGAGATGTCGCTACAACTTGATTGGAGTCCACCTGTGGCCAATTCAATTGTTTGGACATGATTTAGAAAGAAACACACCTGTCTATATAAGGTCCCACAGTTGACATTGCATGTCAGAGCAGAAACTATACCATGAAGTCCAAGGAAGTGTCCGTAGATCTCCAAGATAAAATTGTGATGAGGCATACTGTATATCCTTGGTCCTTCGTACAAAGCACTTCTCCAATCTGGGCTTTTTGGGAGAGTGGCCAGATGGAAGCCACTCCTGAGAAAAAGGCACATGACAGCACACCTGGAGTTTGCAAAAATGCACGTGAAAGGAAGGGGATGCTTTTCAACTGCAGGGACTGGGAGACTGGTAAGGATAGAGGGAATAATGAATGGAGCCAAATACAGGCAAACCCCTGATGAGAACCTGCTTTAGAGGGCAAACGACCTTAGACTGGGGCGAATATTTATGTTCCAACAGAATCGCATTGAAAATCTGTGGAAAGACTTGAAGATTGCTGTTCACCGCCACTCCCCATCTAACTTAACAGAGCTTGAGAAAATCTGCAAGGAAGAATGGGAGAAAATCCCCAAAACCAGATGTGCAAAGCTGATACAGGCATACAAAGACGACTCAAAGCTGTAATCGCCGCCAAAGGTGCTTCTACAAAGTATTGACTCGGGTGTGAATACTTATGTAAATGAGTTATTTCTGTATTTAATTTTCAATACATTTGCTAACATTTCTAAAAACATGTTTTCACTTTGTCATTGTGCTGTATTGTGTGTAGATGGGTGAGAATTTTTTTGGTCCATTTTGAATTCGGGCTGTAACAAAACAATGTGGAATAAATCAAGTGGTATGAATACTTTCTGAACGAACTGTACTATAGTTTTTTTCTTACTACAGTATTTACACTGAAGAAAAATATAAATGCAACATGTAAAGTGTTGGTTTCATGAGCTGAAATAAAAGATCCCAGAAATTGTCCATATGCACAGAAAGCTTATTTCTCTCATATTTTGTGCACAAATTTGTTTACATCGCTGTTAGCAAGCATTTCTCCTTTGCCAAGATAATCCATCCACCTGACAGCTGTGGCATATCAAGATGCTGACTGGAGGAATGTCCACCAGAGCTGTTGCCAAAGAATTTAATGTTCATTTCTCTACCATAAGCCGCCTTCAATGTCGTTTTAGAGAATTTGGCTGTACGTCCAACCAGCCTCACAACCGCAGACCACGCGTAATCACGCCAGCCCAGGACTGCCACATCCGGCTTCTTCACCTGCGGGATCATCTGAGACCAGCCACCCGGACAGCTGATGAAACTGAGGAGTATTTCTGTCTGTAATAAAGCCCTTTTGTGGGGAATAACTCATTCTGATTGGCTGGGCCTGGCTCCCAAGTGAGTGGGCCTATGTCCTCCCAGGCCCACCCATGGCTGCACCCCTGCCCAGTCATGTGAAATCCATAGATTAGGGCCTAATGTATTTACAGTGGGGAGAACAAGTATTTGATACACTGCCAATTCTGCAGGTTTTCCTACTTACAAAGCATGTAGAGGTCTGTAATTTTTATCATAGGTACACTTCAACTGTGAGAGACGGAATCTAAAACAAAAATCCAGAAAATTACATTGTATGATTTTTAAGTAATTAAGTTGCATTTTATTGCATGACATAAGTATTTGATACGTAGTGTGTTACTAATGGTTTTCTTTGAGACTGTGGTCCCAGCTCTCTTCAGGTCATTGACCAGGTCCTGCCGTGTAGTTCTGGGCTGATCCATCACCTTCCTCATGATCATTGATACCCCACAAGGTGAGATCTTGCATGGAGCCCCAGACCGAGGGTGATTGACCGTCATCTTGAACTTCTTCCATTTTCTAATAATTGCACCAACAGTTGTTGCCTTCTCACCAAGCTGCTTGCCTATTGTCCTGTAGCCCATCCCAGCCTTGTACAGGTCTACAATTTTATCCCTGATGTCCTTACACAGCTCTCTGGTCTTGGCCATTGTGGAGAGGTTGGAGTCTGTTTGATTGAGTGTGTGGACAGGTGTCTTTTATACAGGTAACGAGTTCAAACAGGTGCAGTTAATACAGGTAATGAGTGGAGAACAGGAGAGATTCTTAAAGAAAAACTAACAGGTCTGTGAGAGCCGGAATTCTTACTGGTTGGTAAGTGATCAAATACTTATGTCATGCAATAAAATGCAAATTAATTACTTAAAAATCATACAATGTGATTTTCTGGATTTTTGTTTTCGATTCCCTCTCACAGTTGAAGTGTACCTATGATAAAAATTACAGACCTCTACATGCTTTGTAAGTAGCAAAACCTGCAAAATCGGCAGTGTATCAAATACTTGTTCTCCCCACTGTATTTCAATTGACTGATTTCCTTGAACTGTAACTCAGCAAAATGTTAGAAATTGTTGCATGTTGCGTTTATATTTTTGTTCAGTATATATTCTAGTAAACTAAATACTACAGTAAAGTCTGCAAAAACAGTGAATACTATAGTATTTTTTCATGTGGGTAGTGTTTAAATTTTTTTACATTTTCTTTTGTTTACAAACATTGGAGTAAACCAAGCTTCTATTTTGAGTTCTGTTGTGGTACGACAGTTGAACTAAGTTCATAAGGCATTTATAAGCTAAATTCTTCAAGACTCAATGGGTCCATATCATTAATTTATAAATCCAGAAAGGAATGTAGCAACTGCAGATTGCCCCTTTAAAGACCTCTTACATCTGACTCTGACCCTGCAGCATATAGCGAGTGAACTTAGCCTACTTCTAATGGCTAAGCCTACTTATAACATTCCTTAACAAAGAGCAAAGTTCCCAAATTGGGAAATGCCATTACAGTTACTATTCTAGACAAGGCACAATCAGAATTAAAATACCTCTTATGTCTGTCTCTGACCTCCCAAACAAGCAAACTTCCCCTTCTTGTAACGGTTAAGCCTAGTTCTAACAATTCTTTACAAAGAGGACATGAGACATTTTGTTACGGTAGATATAGTTCCACTAGAGATGTCATTACTGTAGTTCTAGTTACTGTAGATTTAGACCTGTAGGTTGGGCCTTACCTCCTCAGGCTCGATGAGTTTGAACTCCATGCCGCGGCCGGTCCAGGCGATGAAGTGTGCGTTGCCCGGGTCATCCAGCAGGGCCACCAGGAACTGCCAGAGCTGCAGGGATCCCCGGCGCTGGTAAGGGGCCCCGTCACGGAACACGCTACCCCCCTCCTGCTTCACCTCACCTGGAGAGGAACAGGGACACTGGAGCTTGGACTAGGCTGTAGGCTCAGACTGGTTTAAGGAAGTAGGCAGCTACCATTGACATAAGACAGCTACCAACAAGCATGGTAATGTGGCCAAGTTTGTTTACCATGACTAATAGGAAATGGATAAGACTGTCATTTTGATTGAGTCCAATCAATGGCTGTCTTGACATGCTTAAGATACTGTAGTAACTGCAACCATGTGAGGGACAGTTGATAAGTTGATTATCTTGAGAGGCAGGGAATGGTGCGGATGAGTACTATAAAACAGTACTATAAAACACTGGCGGGCCGCTAGTGTGGGGTTAAGTCTCAATGGAAAAGCACCATATGTGTGGAACATGGTGCTTGTCACTGTAAGTAAATGGTGCTCTAACCCGGTGTGTTTCGCTGGTTCAACCTGTGCAGTAGCCCTCAGGCTCTCCCCTCACATCAATCACCCCAGTGCACAATGGGAAACTGACTGTCACCTTGCTCTCCATGACACAGGAGCCTGGTCCCTACCTCACGCACGGGGAAACGAAACCCGCTAACTCAGCTCCAATCAAGAGCCTGTCACGCAACAAAACCTCTAAAGCTTATTGTTCAGTCAGCGACACTATATCTGATACTATTGGCACTTATAGAGTGCTGATACCAAACGGAGAGCCATGTGATGTGATTGAATGGATTCTGTTTCTTTCCTATGGAGAACGGACAGTGGACACCCTCAGTACCAACACCCCTAACCATTATCTGATCTCAGTGACACCTATTGAAGTGGATTGGAGTGTGCGAGGTTTAGGCTCTGTGTCTTGAGCTGACTTCTGGACAGTAGATAGGAGTTGTAAGACTCACCTTCGAATTTCTCTGGAACGACACAAGAGTCGTTTTCAAAGAGATAGCCTGTAAAACAAGACAGGTATTATTATTAGTGCTTCAAGTTGTCTTGTGTGGCTTTAACATGTATGTCAAATCTTGAATCATATTATGACAAAATGAATGAATATGAAAATGGTGAATTCACCCATGACACATGTTGAAGTGGTTGAGAAGAGTACACTCTTTATTGGATGTACTTTACTCATCCACTTGAACAAGAATGAGTAGAGTACTTAGTGAGAAGGGGAGGATTCCTCAATGTAAATATCTCAAAAGGACTCCATCTTCCCTCTTACTTTTGTTTTAATATTTTATTTAAAGTGTTTAATACTCTGGTGATCCTTAATAATACAGTCTGTCTTGGGATTGGCTGTTCAAGAGTAGTTCCTGAGTTCTCACTTATTTAAGAAATGATCCTGGACAATAACTAGAATGGTGTGACAAAAAAGGGAGTGAAGAGGAGGATTGTTTTTCTTTTCTCAAGGAAAAATACACTGGCTTTTTCCAGTAGAAATGTTTATCCAGAGATCCTTGAGGCAGGGAAAGGCCAGAGCCTCTGCCAATGGAAACATAGCGACACCGCCGGTTAGCCAATGGAAATACGGACACTGGGCTGGTTAGCCAATGACCGCAATGCTACAGCCAGTAGCAAGGCCTCGTTGAAATAAAAAATGGGAGAGGAAGATTCGGTACATGTAGTATGCCGATCCCAGCTACAGTGCCATAAACCGTTGGCACAGACTTTTGGTAATAAGGCATGCATGTAAAAAAACAAAAACATGCTGCAGTCATAATGCATTATAACATTTGTCATAAGTGTCTATGAAGTATCTATGAAGGGTTTATACATGCTTATGACAAGTAATAATTAACATAACCTCGTTTTTGCTTACCTTCATTGTTGTGCTGGGGGTTGGGGTACCCCTCGTTGTGGTGGTACATGGAAGGACATCCAGGCACATCTATAGGACAGAAACACAAGCATACACCTATTGGTCAATGCAGTGTAAGCTTTTTTAATGTACAGATGGGTTTTCTTCCTCAGTCTATATATACCAGGCCAATATCCACGGGGAGAGAGAGTATTAATGTGCATATTTTGGTTTGATCGCCTCTAGTCCTGCAAGGACAAAACCTTCATTTGTCATAATATCACCTGTCCTCATATGTATTTTTAGGCAACGAGTAAGCACCTAGTGAGGAGCAACAGTATAGTGTAGTACAGTGGTAGAGAATGGTGAGTCCGCAGTGTCAGCACTCTGTCCATCCACCTGGCCTTAGTAATACAGGTCAGTAACTGGACACACCCCTACAACCAGCCACGCTGCAAAGGGATGAGATCTTTATATTTCTATCAATCCCTAATCACATTTTTAATCAAATTTCTATTTCCAAAAGTTGTATAAATTGAAAACCTCTCTAATCAGGTGGGTGGCGGATGTTTCTCCTTATTGCTAATGGTTGGTGACACTGGTCTCATCTCATATGATTTTAGATTTTAATCATTTAGCAGACGCTCTTATCCAGAGCGACTTACAGTTAGTGCATACATTTTCATACTGGCCCCCCCTGTGGGAAACGAACCCACAACCCTGGCGTTGCAAGCACCATGCTCTACCAACTGAGCTACAGGGGACTATACAGTATAGTGTATGTGTGCCTGTGTGAGTGAGTGAGTGCATGCACATGCATCTGTGTGTTTGTTTGTATGAGTGGCTGAATGGGTGAAGCTCTTGTCTCCTGCATCTCAGTAGTGTGGTGAGTCTGGTGACTCACTCCTGGGGAATGCAGTTGCAGTGCTGTGGCTGTGATAAGATGTCACTGGGGAAAACAGACCCTCCATTCCGGGCCAGCACTCTATCACACTGTAAATAATATCACTGCCAGCCAGTGATGGGGAGATTTGGGGCGATAGCACCAGTGTAAATTGTGTGCTGCTGGTGTAGCCAGTTTTTGGAGCCATTTTGTGTCTTTCACACAATACAATGGCACACATTATTTTACTAGACGGAAATTTGAATGTGAAAAAGACAACTTTATTCACAAGCCTGAACCACATAACTGCCTCAAGCCTAGGGGTGCACTTATCAATCATTTTGATTTGATTTGGTCACATTTGAGTGCCTGTAGACCTATGAGGTCCTTGTGATAGAATTTCTGAGCAGGCAAAACAGCTGGCCAGCTCTTATTTGTGGCATAACTCTCGGGCAGGCCTACCAGCCCCCTCAACTCCTCCTCCTCCTCCTACCACCAGAGTCCAGTTTATCCACTAAGGCTGTCAAAATTATTCAAGCACAAAGTTTAACTTTCTGAGCAATTTACGGCTTCTATCAAAAACATAAAAAAGTCCAAAGAATTTAGATCGTCGGTCTTACATGTTATTGTATAGAGAGGTATGCTGGTTTCAGCGCTGGGAGGCTCTCTTTGTACCTGTGTTTGTCCACTGTGCCCATAAGACTCCACAACAAAGACAGCTCTGCTCCCAGTTGACTGTCACTTATATGCACAACATACATATGTCACTTATACAACATATTGCGTTTCCAGCCCTTGTGTTTGCATCCTAGCACGGCTTAAAGGGAACCGCCAGGCTTTGAGGCTGTGCTGTGGTGGTAGGGCTGGTTCTCAGTCTGTTGTTGCCAAGGGCCCTGGCTACCCCCACCCTCTCCTTCCCCCTCCACATCCCAGCCAGTGAGAGGTTCGTGTTACTGCGGCCACGCTCATTTTTCCATTATGAGTTCATCTGCCTGCAGAAAGGAAGGCGCTGTTGCAACCCAATACCCCAGAGTGCTCCACTGGGGACTCTAGTCTTTCCAGTGCCCTCCATTTTCTCAATGAAATTCCTCTGCCTTCCTTTCAGTGAGACGAGAGAGGGAGCGGGGAGGAGTGTAGAGGAGGGAATAAAACTGAATTACAGACAGGAGTCGAGACCTTTTTTTGCAAAGTGTCAGGGAGTTGAAAGGAGGAGTTTGGAGGTAGGGAGGGGGTAGGGAAAAGTCTGTTGTAGATATAGAAGTGTCTGCTTTTAGACATTTTGTTCTAAGGTTAGCCAGACACACCAGGTTGGCTCAAATTATCTTTTGTAGGACAGAGAGCAAAAGCCACAAAGCAATATGTACATAACATTGCAATGTGTAGGTAATTGGGTTGTATACATCCTACATGTTCTTTTGAGTGACATAGGATTAGTTTGGGTATGTTTTGAAGTGTTCAGTGTGTCAGTGTGTTGTGATTTGTTAGGGAGGAATGATGCTCAGTGACTCCCATTAAAGATTAGCTTCCATCCAAAAACCATTAGCTATTCAGTATAGATAGACTCTTTATACAAAGCGATGGCTGCCATTCAAAACATACTCATACTGTATCTCTGTCATTCTGCTCTAGGGCCCTCCATGCTTTGATCACTCACCAGGCTCATAGGTGTAGTCAGTCGGCTCCTGCTTCACCATCATGTGGGCAGGGGGGAACCTGTGAGGATGGGGGTGGGAGTGTTGGTGTTGGTGAGGTCCGTGCCCTGATCCATGCCCTGGCCCAGGCCCGTGTCCTTGTCCTGCCATGTGGGCAGCCCTCTCGTACAGAGGGTCCAGATACTCCTGCTTGAAGCTCTGCTGCAGGTAGGGCAGACACGGGTCTAAGTGCTGCCGGTGGTAGCCAACACCACCTCCACCTGGTCCTCCACCCCCTCCTCCACCGCCACCACCTCCGGCTGGGGCAGGGTGCATGCGCTGGAAGGCCTGCCCTTGAGGGGGGAACCCCGGGGGGCACATGTCTGCTGAGGGGGCCTGATACCTGGAACTGAGAGAAGGGAAGAGAGCGGTTATGAAAAACGATCAGTAACGACAACACATAATTATGTCACCCACCAAAGGCATGTACTTTTTTGGCACACGTTTAAGTATTTTGTACAGGACAGGGGGCAATACCTGGGGTTCATGGGGTAGTTGTTGTGGCTGGGCAGAGGCTGGGAGGCGGCAGGGTGGTTCATGTTGTAGGCCATGTTGTCAGGCCGTCCATTTGCGCCCCCGACTTGCTTTGGGGAGTAATGCTGCTGCATGGGGGACATGGGCGTCCCTGGGGGGCAGGAGGTCTTATTGGGTCCTGCAGCCCTCTTCTGCTCATAGGCACTGGAAAACACACATAGTTTATGAATCCTAATGTGGTTTATGAGTACTACCATGGCATCAGTAGTAGGCCCTAGCATTAGTAATACAGGTCAGTAAGCCAAACTGGGCTTACGGGGGATGGCTGTTTTGTAGTTCCTGGCGTTGTGGTCAGTAGCTTGTGGTCTGGTCACTCTGCTGCACTGACTTATGTATGATAATTGACTGGAATTGGCTGACTAGTGACTTGCTATGGACCCTCTAACTATAAAATGTTTGTAAATGGGCCATAATTAGCTGTGTACTTTACTTACTGACATGCGTACCTGGCGTAAAGGCACTGCTCTCCATTGGGGTAGGTGAATGTCTGCTTGTGGCTACAGGACTGGCTGGGGTCGGATCCTGGGCTCTGTGGTTCCTTCTTGATGGTGACTGGAGGGCTGTGGAATGCCACTGCTGTAGAAGAACAGAGACAGAAGAGGAGGTTGGCACACATGGATTATTATTTTTTTTAACCCTCTGTTGTGTTGTCAAGCTCAAAGGCAAAGCAGATACTTCTGTCCACACCGGAATCCCTAATACTTGCCAGAACGCTTAAGTGACAGTCAATTGAAAGGGATGCAGACAGACACATCTAAACACACATAAGACACGCGTGCGTACACACATTCCTGCAGTTCATTTGGAAGCCGTTGGTGTCCTCGCCCACTTTTTGCCCTCTCCTCCAGACACAACACCAGCCATAACTTCCTTTGTACCCAACACAAATTCAAGCCAAAGCTAAACAACGACACTGTCTTTGGATGAGCAAAAGGCAACGTAACACTTTGGTTTGAGTGAGACATAATACATTCTTTATTTCCTTGGCAAACAATGTTATATAATTTTGGGTATTTCAGTTAATAACCTTCTTTTCCAAAGGGAGATGGCTAGATAAAAATGTTTTGTCTTGGTTTCATTCTTCAATTGCAAACATTCTGAGCTGTTTACAAGACCCTCCTCTTCTGCACAGTCTATATTTTTTTCAATTTTCAATCCAAACTCTACGTAAGACATCAACTGTCTATCAAGCTCTTCTCTTGGTGAGGACCTTTGTCTTAAAGGCCACACAAATCACCAAAAGTGGGGCTTCAAACTGTGCCGAGGCTGTGTTTATTATGTGAGGGGAGGTTTTCACCGACTGTACAGCACAGGATGTTTTTCTGGGCCTGAGAGGGTAAACAGCAGCAGCTGTGCACTTCCAGCTGGGGAGGACTGTGTTTATATGTGTGTGTGTGTGTGTGTGTGTGTGTGACTGCAGTGGGTGTGGTGCTGACAGAACAGGCCCCGCTGAAACCCGAGACCAGGTAATTACATACTGTATGTATCCCATTCACAAAAAGGGAGGAGAAAAAATGCAGCGACTGACTGTAAAAGCTGCGAAAGGAACTTCTACAGTTATTCAAAGAGAGCAACACAGTAGAAGAGAAGGATAGAGCGGAATGGAGAGAGGCCAAAAGAAAAAGAGACAATCGGGGAGAAATAAAGACAGAATGAAAGAGACTGAGAAAGAGAGAGAGAAAGCCACAGACAGACAGAAAGACAGGCAGACCGAAAGACAGGCAGACAGAAAGACAAGCAGACAGAAAGACAAGCAGACAGAAAGACAAGCAGACAGAAAGACAGGCAGACAGAAAGACAAGCAGACAGAAAGACAAGCAGACAGAAAGACAGGCAGACAGAAAGACAAGCAGACAGAAAGACAAGCAGACAGACAGCTTGTGGAACAGAGGAAACCCTATTATTTATTCTCCTCTCTCCCTTGACAAACCCGGGTAGGTGAGGAAGTGTTGGCTTCAGAGTGCGATCAGAAAGGATTAGAAAGTATTTACCCAGATTTCCAACACAGACACAATAACATTCCAGTCCTCCAAATCCCTCTGCTCTCTTCCCTTCTCTTTATACCCAGGGTGGCACATGACTGACTGACTTTCGAATACGTCTGTGTGGGTTGTGCTTGTCTCACATATTGACTCTCGCTTTGTGCCACAATCATGAACTGCAAACAATCCATGGTGTGTAGTGTGTACTATAAAAAGTCCAGTCACAATGCAGCCCAAGTGGAGCAGCTAATATGATTGGCAGACATATTGCCTTTTGATGTGGCCCCGCTTCTGAGGACAGCCTCAGAACATGTTTCATTTCAAACACTGCATACTGTTCTGAACAGCATCGAGCCAAGAGCATGGGTCGCTGTTTGAGAATGAAGCACAGCACTGTAGTGGGTTGGTGGAGATTTGTCTGTCAGGATCTACAATATGAATTACTCTTGTAAATGAGCACGGGATGGCTGTGTGTGTGTGATTGGTGCTGTTGTTGTCTGGCACGCTTCCTCAATTAGCAGGAGTTGGCTGACTTCCCCGTTAACGAAGCCCTAATGAATCAAATGATTTGTCAAGCCCAGGATCAAAGGATTGGAGACATTGGATTAGTCTTCATCCCTTGATCCTTATAGAAATATTCAAAAATTTGAGCTGTATTTGATCTCTTCTCTGGACTGGCACCCCAATGGTGAAACCAGCTTCCCCCTGAAGCTAGGACAGCGGAGTCCCTGCCCATTTTCAGAAAACTTCTGAAACCCTACCTCTTCAAATAGTATCTTAAATGAATCACACGGCAGAAAAATTCTGATTGATTTCAAATAGAAAAAGGGGGATTCCTAAAATGTACGGTTTCAAAACGGTTTAACAAATGACGGTTTTACAAATATTTGAAAAAATTTACATTATTGAGGTTAATCCAGTTCAAATGACATAACATTTGCTCCCAAAGTTTATAAAGTAGTGGCAGTCATATAAACAGAGTTTGGACAGCATTGCCCTTCCCTCTTGGTTTCATTTGGGGACATTTGACCCCAGCTTACAGGCTCTGGTTTCCCTCTCTACAGCTCTGTTAGTAGTTACATCACCTTTTCTTCAAGATCCTCATATTCTATTTCAATACGTTTTTTCTAAGAAAGTGTGGTGAACTTAAACATAATGTACTGTATAATGGCCTAGAGAAGTGTTTAGATCTTTCTGGACAGATACTGTACACATAAGGTACACAGTGTTAAGGCAGAGAGGGGATGTGTGTGTCCTCTCTTAATATTTGGAATGGGTGTTGGGGGGACCGGAAATATGAACATATCCTAACCTGGTGTATCTCAACATCATTAGGTAGGGGTGAGTAACTTTAGAGACGTTTACTGCTGATGTGATTTTCTTATTCTCCCCTCAAAATAAATGGAGTAGGGTTATAGGGCCTGTGGAAAGTATTCTTCTTGTGATGAAAGTTGAACGTTTTCATCTTGTGTTTGCTCCTCTTTCTGATTAGTTTTTCCAATCTTTGCATTTTTGCTTTCTCTGGTGTCTCACCATTCATTCCCATTCTGTTCACCCCTATCGGCAAGATGACCCAGGTCGGGGATGTAGGGAGGAGTAGGTTGGACTTTACATATGTAAATGAGAAGCTTTGGGGGAGGATGCAGGGTGAAAGGTGATGGTCATGGTTGAGTGCTTTAGGAAGTGGAGGGATTATTATGGAGGGGAACTATTCAGTCAACACCCACCACAAACAAATGTCAGGACCTGAGACCCCCACCCCCTTCACCCCTCCACCCCCGTCTCCGCCCACACAAAAGGGTCCTCAGCTGGAACATATGGAGGTACTAGTAAGAACTCCTCAGGACTGCTCGTCTGAAATGGGACATTCTTCTGAGGCTTAGGACATGAAGTGCTGAAGAAATACCTTGTCATAGCCATGCTACTACATTGTGTAACGCAAAGAGGAATTCAGGATTCAGAGTGTTGTGTCATCAATAGACTTAAAGTTGAAAACATCAAGTATCAAGGAAGAATAAAAAATAGGGTATCTATCTCGTCTCGCTATCCTCTTGTGATCTTCCGTTTGTACAGGATTCCAATCATAGCTTGGTAGCTAATGGCAATGATCAAACAAGTGGCAGCCAGGTTTGAATGCCAGGTAGGAAACCCCCCCTGTAAACTCCTCAGTTTATTTTATACAGAGCATTTCCTACCATTAAAGGTTATCCTCTAGGGGAAATCAAACCTGAACTCAGTGAGAGAAGATCTGGAGAACTTTACATTGGGGTGTTTATCTCTGGGATGGGAAGTCTCTGTCTCTGGAAGTCTGCAGGCCGTGACAGCTTCTGTATCCACCAGCCAGCCAGTGAGCATCCCAGTGACTTATCATTCTGGTTCAGGGCCGGTTCCAGGCATAAGCGACATGAGCGGGGCCCCCAACCCCCCCCCAAAAAAAAAACTCAGTCAGGTTCTCAACTTACGGTTGAGAGTTAGAATAGTAGAATACACAAGGTGCAAGTTCGAAATTTGGTTGTGCATCAGCAATTTTTTCCCTTATTATGTCAGTCACTATCAGTCACTCAATTAGCCATTTTAGCTAACCATTTTTAGATTGGTAAATTAGTCTAGCCATCTATCTAAACTTGTAGTAATCATGGCCAAATAACGACCGGTCAAGCCGGGCACGTGTCCAGGGGCCCTGACCTCTAGGGAGCCACTATTGATTTTGTTAGTCACTCTCACATAAATATCATTAACATGGCATAAGCCATGGCAAAATGTGTAGAATTGCAGGGAATTAGCTTTAAAACATACATTTGTATTTTCACCATCAAGAGGGGGGGACCACTAAAATGTTTGGCCCGCGAGGTGGGGGGGGGGGCAATGTCAAATAGGGTGAATAGTATTGCAAACTACTGCCATAGGTAAACCATGAGAACAAATGGAGGTGTATTTCAACTGTCACAGGACTTTCCTTGAATGCTACATGATAGCATTTCCATTATTAGTACATGACTTATACAAACTGCACATGTACTGTACACCCAAGAGTGGCTCTTTCTCAAAAGTCAGAGAGAGAGAGAGAGAGAGAGCTGGTTCCCCACTGGCCAATTGATCTCAACGATGACCGATCAATAAAAACAACAAGGATTATAATATCACAATGGCTCTAAAGGTTTTGAAAGGAACTGATTGATTTCTGGGATATGTTACAGTTGAAGTCGGAAGTTTACATACACTTAGGTTGGAGTCATTAAAACTCGTTTTTCAACCACTCCACAAATTTCTTGTTAACAAACTATAGTTTTGGCAAGTCGGTTAGGACATATACTTTTTCCAACAATTGTTTACAGACAGATTATTTCACTTATAATTCACTGTTTCACAATTCCAGTGGGTCAGAAGTTTACATACACTAAGTTGACTGTGCCTTTAAACAGCTTGGAAAATTCCAGAAAATGATGTCATGGCTTTAGAAGCTTCTGATAGGCTAATTGACATCATTTGAGTCAATTGGAGGTGTACCTGTGGATGTATTTCAAGGCCTACCTTCAAACTCAGTGCCTCTTTGCTTGACATCATGGGAAAATCAAAAGAAATCAGCCAAGAC